GAGGGGGAAACGCCGCGATTGGCGTACGTGTTATCGTCCGAATTTTCAATCGATGTCGCGAATTAATATTCTCGGTGGTGCAGTCGATAACCTGTCCCTGACGTAACGCCCACGCGGTGCAGTGGTGGGAATCGACGGAGCGGGTGAGGGGATGAGAAGGGGACAGGGAGGGTTGTCCGAAGGGTGGCAGCAGCGAGGGCGCCAGGGGGCGTTCAACAAAACTGGGTCACTGGAGCTTCATTCACATTACGCGGCCATTCATGAGATTTGCCAACCGTTCGGCTTTCATGCTTTCGACGTGCATTTCTTGTCTTTTTCGGAAAAGACCTTCCTCTCCCCCTCCCTCCCCCCGCCCCGTTGTTCCCGGCGTCCCGCGAGGGGACCTTCTTCACCGGTTCATGTCCGTCATCCTCGTCAACTCTGCCAAAGATCACTCCTGCAGGTCTGTCAAGTCGTCTGTTATTTTCCAGGCCGAACGATCCGGATAACGATTCACCGCTGGCACACGTGCCTCTCTCGCTCCATCTTCCCCATCTTCGTCGTCATCGAATATCGAAACGAATTACCGAGTTTCCTCGAAAAAAATGAAAAGACTCTCCAGGAGAGTCGTAGAAAACGTTTAGAAACGCCGTGCGAGAGAGATAACGAATGACAGATGGAATTAAAAATATGTAGAATAACAGAATAAATGCTGAGCGAGGAAATCCATCGAGACGCGCGTTTGGAAACTTTGGAATTCTCTCGAGGCAAAATAGTCGAGGCGAGTTGGAGTTAGCGGTTAACTCGGTCTTATCGTTCGAATGGCGAATACTACTCGATCGGCGCTCGTCAAGATCGGCAAGAAAGTTGCCTGCGGCGACCGACGGCGAATAGGTGCGAATAGGTCTCGAGCTCGATCAGGGAATTTCTCAATAAACTTTCGAAAGCGTCTTCAATCGGTCCGGCTGGGTCCGTCCGACCTACTTTCGCCCGGGCAATGACGTTGGATATGACGTCACAGGAGCGCAAACTGGGTCGCGAGGTCGAAGGCACCTCGCCGGTTTCCCATGGATACTTGCCCCCTTT